CAAAATTCTGACAGCACAGAGAAATGGAAGAGAAAAGATTACACTCCCACTGGGAGTGCTTTCTCCCTCTCCCCATCTCTCTCTCTCTTTCTCTCTCTCTCTCTCTCTCACACACATACACATACAAACACACAAGCAATTAAAAACAAGACAAAACAAAAACAAAACCCAGCGTGTGTAAGGTATGACTGGGGGATGTGGAAGGTGGTGCAGGAGAGCCTAGTTGTGCCAATGGTCTGAGGGATTGCGTGACAGGGAGTAGGAATGCATTTGTGGCCAGTTGCAGCTGTTTTCTTCACATACCCTAAGAGTCATCTAAATGGGGCCGGCAGGTAGCGTGGTGGTTAAGGGCTCTGGACTCCCGCATGTGACCGTGATTCGAGTCCCAGACTTAGTGACTTGCTTTCTCACTTTCCCTCTCTCTTTTTCTGTCACTTGCTCATTCTGTCCTTCTCTGGTCAAATTTAAATAAATTAATAAAGTTAAATAAAATCATTCTTTAAAAAAAGTCACTCAACTGCTGAAGACAATCAGCCCAAGGAATGTTCGGGCCCATGAAGAGAGCCAATGTCTTATTCTGGTAAGAACAAGAATTCAACTTGAAAGATTCTGATGAAGACTTTAATAAAGTGAACATTTCAGACGTGTGGTCAGGGGAGCCACAAAGGAAGCTCAGGGTTGTACACTTGCTGTTTTCCTACCTGCCACAACACTCACCTTAGCATCTGGACAACTCCTTCATCCCATTCAGGTCTTCATTCTAATGTTCCTTTGTTGGTGGACATTACGACTGTTCCTCTCCTCAGTGCCCCCTCCTCCTCCACCTAGCTTTGCTGTATCACTTAACATCTCTGATATTAGTATGTTTATGTGCTTCTTGTCTGCTTCAACCCACTAGAATAAGAACAGAGAATTTTGTATATTTTGTTCATTGCTATAATCTCAGCACACTGTCTAGCCCAAGGAAGATGTTCAACAAGTGTTAAATGAATGAATGAAGACTAACTGGACTTCTTAGAACATGTGGAGTAAATTGCCTAGAATTGACATCTGATCCATCTTTCCTGCTTCAGCTTGCTGTTCACGCTTTTTGGAGACAGCTGAACTGCTAATAGCTTTCATTTGGCCACAAGAGGGTAGTATTGATCAGGTTTTCATATGGCACCTTATTCTGAGATCATTCAACTCTCTTTTCCCACCAGCCTCCAAAAAAACACCTGGGGCAAGGCCCTGTCCGTACAGTATATACATACGTACAGTATATCTTACTCCTCGATATTGTTCATGTAAAATTCAGTTCAAACCTACATCAAGAATGGTCTCTAAAGGAGAAAAGGTCACTAGAAGGCAAGACCATGAAGAATGTGTAGGAAGAATGGGCCAAATAAAAGTACCTCTTTAGCTTTGGTAACAACTGTAGAGACTCCATCAGCTGGCCAGATGACCTTGTGCTTTGTGCTACATCCCTCTATCTTCCTTTCTTTGGATAATTAATGCCCAGTTGGCCATCCCTTTGAAGGTATGAGCTCTCACAATACAGCATCTAGACTCCTGGCTCTAATTTTAACTCCCCAAATGCTCTGGAAAAGAAAGACAAACTTTGCAAAGAATCATTCTCTCTCTTCTAAGTTCTGCTTTGTATGGGCATTGTACTAAAGTTCATGTGGGATGACACAGAAATAATGGAATTATAAGCCCCAAGATCACTGCACACAGTAATGACATTATAGGGCAGAATTTGCCAGAGCTATGAAACCCAGAGAAGGTGACAGGAACTACTGGAAAAAAGGCAAGTGAGGTGGTCTTCAGTCAGGAGGACTTAGTGGAGCTTAATGGAAATGATGTTCAAGTAGAATTTTAATGATAGGTAAGTGAAAATTTGCTTTTGGCAGGGCCGGCAGGTGGCATGCTGGTTAAGCATGCTGGACTCTCACATGGCCAACCGTGGTTTGTGTCCTGGACCTGGAGACTTGATTTCTCACTTTCCTTCTCTCTCTCTTTCTAATTCTCCCTCTCTAGTCAAATTTAAATAAGTTAAATAAAATAATTCTTTAAAAAAATTTGTGTTTGCATAAATCTAAAGCATTTTATTTTACATACTACCTTTATTCACATTCAAATTTCAGGGTAAATTTCTTCACATTTAAATGTATGAGTAACCACCTGTATATACAAAAAACGTTAAACTTTTCAGGACATTTCACTCCATAGTAGACATAGCACATTATAAAATAAAAAGTGTTATAGATGAGATAGTATGTTATTAGAGAAAAAGGGAACAAGCCTTTTATTCCACCCTAGTGGTCTTTCAATTGAGTGCCTTTATGTGCACCCCAGAGAGACTGGAGAATCTAACAAATGGACACATTTTTTTCCTTGATTTTTGATATTTTTAAAATATGGAGTATAGATTGGAAGTTTTGGGGAGGAGTATTATTATCCCACGTTAAGGGCAGCTTTCCTCAACAGCATAGAGTAGATTTCTCTCTCTCTCTCTCTCTCTCACACACATACACATACAAACACACAAGCAATTAAAAACAAGACAAAACAAAAACAAAACCCAGCGTGTGTAAGGTATGACTGGGGGATGTGGAAGGTGGTGCAGGAGAGCCTAGTTGTGCCCATGGGCTGAGGGATTGCGTGACAGGGAGTAGGAATGCATTTGTGACCAGTTGCAGCTGGTTTTCTTCACATACCCTAAGAGTCATCTAAATGGGGCCGGCAGGTAGCGTGGTGGTTAAGGGCTCTGGACTCCCGCATGTGACCGTGATTCGAGTCCCAGACTTAGTGACTTGCTTTCTCACTTTCCCTCTCTCTTTTTCTGTCACTTGCTCATTCTGTCCTTCTCTGGTCAAATTTAAATAAATTAATAAAGTTAAATAAAATCATTCTTTAAAAAAAGTCACTCAACTGCTGAAGACAATCAGCCCAAGGAATGTTCGGGCCCATGAAGAGAGCCAATGTCTTATTCTGGTAAGAACAAGAATTCAACTTGAAAGATTCTGATGAAGACTTTAATAAAGTGAACATTTCAGACGTGTGGTCAGGGGAGCCACAAAGGAAGCTCAGGGTTGTACACTTGCTGTTTTCCTACCTGCCACAACACTCACCTTAGCATCTGGACAACTCCTTCATCCCATTCAGGTCTTCATTCTAATGTTCCTTTGTTGGTGGACATTACGACTGTTCCTCCTCAGTGCTCCCTCCTCCTCCACCTAGCTTTGCTGTATCACTTAACATCTCTGATATTAGTATGTTTATGTGCTTCTTGTCTGCTTCTACCCACTAGAATAAGAACAGAGAATTTTGTATATTTTGTTCATTGCTATAATCTCAGCACACTGTCTAGCCCAAGGAAGATGTTCAACAAGTGTTAAATGAATGAATGAAGACTAACTGGACTTCTTAGAACATGTGGAGTAAATTGCCTAGAATTGACATCTGATCCATCTTTCCTGCTTCAGCTTGCTGTTCACGCTTTTTGGAGACAGCTGAACTGCTAATAGCTTTCATTTGGCCACAAGAGGGTAGTATTGATCAGGTTTTCATATGGCACCTTATTCTGAGATCATTCAACTCTCTTTTCCCACCAGCCTCCAAAAAAACACCTGGGGCAAGGCCCTGTCCGTACAGTATATACATACGTACAGTATATCTTACTCCTCGATATTGTTCATGTAAAATTCAGTTCAAACCTACATCAAGAATGGTCTCTAAAGGAGAAAAGGTCACTAGAAGGCAAGACCATGAAGAATGTGTAGGAAGAATGGGCCAAATAAAAGTACCTCTTTAGCTTTGGTAACAACTGTAGAGACTCCATCAGCTGGCCAGATGACCTTGTGCTTTGTGCTACATCCCTCTATCTTCCTTTCTTTGGATAATTAATGCCCAGTTGGCCATCCCTTTGAAGGTATGAGCTCTCACAATACAGCATCTAGACTCCTGGCTCTAATTTTAACTCCCCAAATGCTCTGGAAAAGAAAGACAAACTTTGCAAAGAATCATTCTCTCTCTTCTAAGTTCTGCTTTGTATGGGCATTGTACTAAAGTTCATGTGGGATGACACAGAAATAATGGAATTATAAGCCCCAAGATCACTGCACACAGTAATGACATTATAGGGCAGAATTTGCCAGAGCTATGAAACCCAGAGAAGGTGACAGGAACTACTGGAAAAAAGGCAAGTGAGGTGGTCTTCAGTCAGGAGGACTTAGTGGAGCTTAATGGAAATGATGTTCAAGTAGAATTTTAATGATAGGTAAGTGAAAATTTGCTTTTGGCAGGGCCGGCAGGTGGCATGCTGGTTAAGCATGCTGGACTCTCACATGGCCAACCGTGGTTTGTGTCCTGGACCTGGAGACTTGATTTCTCACTTTCCTTCTCTCTCTCTTTCTAATTCTCCCTCTCTAGTCAAATTTAAATAAGTTAAATAAAATAATTCTTTAAAAAAATTTGTGTTTGCATAAATCTAAAGCATTTTATTTTACATACTACCTTTATTCACATTCAAATTTCAGGGTAAATTTCTTCACATTTAAATGTATGAGTAACCACCTGTATATACAAAAAACGTTAAACTTTTCAGGACATTTCACTCCATAGTAGACATAGCACATTATAAAATAAAAAGTGTTATAGATGAGATAGTATGTTATTAGAGAAAAAGGGAACAAGCCTTTTATTCCACCCTAGTGGTCTTTCAATTGAGTGCCTTTATGTGCACCCCAGAGAGACTGGAGAATCTAACAAATGGACACATTTTTTTCCTTGATTTTTGATATTTTTAAAATATGGAGTATAGATTGGAAGTTTTGGGGAGGAGTATTATTATCCCACGTTAAGGGCAGCTTTCCTCAACAGCATAGAGTAGATCATGAGTGCCTAGTGAGGCCCCAGGACTCACAGGTCAAATTTGCAGACCAACACAATAGCCTCTGATTAAACATATTCTTTATTAGAAAGAGAAACACTTCAGATGGAAAGCAAGAAAGGAATGAAATGAATGAGATGTCAAGTAGCAGCTCTGTGTCAAAGCTTCTACTTCCTTCTTGGTCCACCCCAGGCATGGGGCCACAGCCATGCCCTCCTCCTTCAGGTGTGATGTGAAGCCCCCCAAGTTACCAAAGACTAATGCGGTAGAAGTTCTTCCACCTCTAGAGTAAGGAAGGGAAATAAGACATCTCTCAGCCTCTTCAAGGAGCCCCTGCTCATGACCATGTCCAAGGCATCTGTGAGAAGGTCTGGGTTTATGTACTGCAGGTAGAAAAGCATGTAACCCAGCAGCCTAATGAAGATCATGACCATGAAGACAAGACACCGGAAATGCCTGCAAAGAGACATTCATCATTAGTATGTATGGGAAAAGAGCCATCCCAAGGCCAAGCAGTGAGAGGCAAACCACACATCACAAACGACTTGCGAACTACTTTCATCAGGCAAAACTGATGGGGGGAAGTGGGGAATGGTCTACAAGAGGGTGAGGGTAGAGGACAGGCAAAAATAGAAACAGTGAGATAGTGGTTGGGAATTGAATACAGCCCTCCTGACATTTAAGTTCTCCAGCAGAATAGATGCTCACATAGAAAAGTCAGAGGTAGGCCAGCTCTTGGTGTAGTAGTTAAAGTGACTGGATCCTATATGGCCAACTGTGTGGTTTGAGCTCTGTACCAGTCAGCTTGAGAAACACGCCAGGCATATGAGTGTGTTCAAAATCCTGAAAGAAGGGAGAGATGAAGGAGAAGGGATTGTAGCATGACCATGCCCCATGGAGGTGCTTTCTCACTTTCTCTCTGTCTCTGAGTTTCCCTTCAGTGAATACACATACACTATAGCAAAAAAAAAAAAAAAATTAAGTTGGAGATATGAAAGAAGAGTTTCTGGATAATATAGGGACAGGCCTTTCAGAGATTGTCAGGAAATGTTCAGGACAGTCATGCATGTGAGCCTTGTGACCAGTGACCTTCTTCAGGTCTCCTATAGCACACAGTTCTAGAATTTGACATAATATTTAGTCATCTCTAACATAGTGTCCAAGTAAAATGAGAATTAGTATTTTCTTTTTTTAGAATTATTTTATTTAACTTTATGTATTTACTTTTTTTTTTTTTTAACTTGACCAGAGAAGGACAGAATGAGACAGAGAGAGAGCGAAAGGAGGAAAGCAAGACCAGGTCTGGGACCTACACGGTATGCAGCTCTGTGCAAGTCCAGAATCCTTAACCACAATGCCACCTGCTAGTTCCAGAGGACTGGCTTTTTCTAACAGTAAATGCCAAGAGAGACCAACTGAGGCTATAAAAGGTTGTGTGTGTGTGTGTGTGTGTGTGTGTGTGTGTGTGTGTTGTATGCACCCAAGAGAATTTTATACTAGTAACTGGTCTGAGACTGTCAATCTTCTACTGAACTGTATGTTGAAATGTCAAAATTTGAGGCTTTTTATGAAGCATTCATGGTCAGTCTCTTTGTTTCAAAAATTTAAAAAGAGAGGACTCCCACATGGCTGACTGCAGTTCAAGTCTTGGGCCTGGCGGCTTGCTTTCTCACTTTTCTTCTCTCTCTCACTCTGTCCCTCTCTGGAAAAAATTAAATAAATAAAGTTAAATAAAATAAGTCTTTTTTTTTTAAAGACATTTTTGCTATAGGATGCATACACTCACCAGAAAGACAGACAGAAACAGAGAGACAGAAAGCGAGAAATCGCCCCCTAGGGGGATGGCCACACCACAATCCCTTCTCCTTCATTGTCCTATCGGGACCTTGGGTGCTCACTCTCACACATCAGACGTGATTTTAAGCCACCAGGTCCAGGACTCAAACCACAATCGACTACATGGGAGTCCAGCAACAGAGCCATTATGCCAACTGCTGGTCCTATGTCTTTAAAAAAATTGTAAAAGGAAAGGTATTGAGTTCAAGTGATTTTTTTTTCCTAAAATTTCTAAGCCTGCATTGAAAGAACTAAGAAAATGAGTACACTGTGAATTTTCTTCTCAACAAAAAGTCTAACAGAGCTTGCTAGTTTCAGGATCTGAAAACTAGGAAGGGGCCATATCAAGCATCATAAGAATAGAAATTAAGGGGCTGGCAGATGGCGTGGTGATTAAGGATGCTGGACTCTCACTTTGATCACTGTGTTTCGAGTCCCAGACCTGGTGGCTTGCTCTCTCTCTCTCTCTCTCTCTCTCTGCCCCTCTCTGGTCAAATTAAAATAAATACATAAATAAAGTTAAATAAAATAATTCTTTAAAAAATCATGGAAAATAGAAGTGAAATTAACAGCCTTCATCCTGAACTCAGAAATACCCACTAATTCCTCCAGCTATGTATAACCATTTAACTCTGTGCTATAAATCTGTTGAAAAAAGAAGAAAGGATTGGGAGAAATCTGGAGCTAGCTGATGTTTTCTGCTCTGTGGATGTGTTCATGTTTATCTTTACCATGGCACCTGCAGAGTGAATGTGACCTGGACTAGGTCAAACACAAGATTCTGCCACTTACCTGTACCAAAAGATTCTCTTCTGTTTCTTAATGATGGTCTTCTCCTATGAGAAGTTATAAAACTCAGTTATTTCTGTCCATATGCTCATGGGAAGGCAAGATAGCAGGATGGCTAAGCACAGAGACTCTAAACCCAGGCTACCTGGGTTTGAATCCTGCCACGTCTTAGCTGCCATGGAATGGAGCAAGGCACTGAATCTTACTATTTCTTAACTCTGGGGTTATTAAAAGGAGAGGGAGAGAGAACCCAGGGGGAAGAAAAGGATAGAGAAAGAAAATACTAGTTTGGGACAGGGAAGGCTTACCATGTTGCTTTGGATGGTCTCTACCAGAATTGACCCAGGTTTCACTGTTTGGGAGGAGTTTTTCTGGGCTTTGGATCTGGATAAAAAAAGATCAGAGCCAACAATTATGTAACATTATCTGAAGGACTAATGAAATGTACCTTTCTAAGTCATGCAACATCTATGATTTATTCCTAGATTTTTGATAACATTCATAATGCTCAACATTCAAAACTCATGATTGTTCAGCCTACAAAGAACCAGGAAGATGAGATCCATTCCCAAGAGAAAAATAATCTATGAAGACTAAGCCTGATATAACACTGATGTTTGATTCAAATTGCAAAGTCTGTCTTTTGGTGGCAACTAAATGTCAGTTGAAGACTTATATCCTTAGCTGGGTCATTCACAGACTTCCCTGAGAAGGTATGGTTTGGAGAACAGGTACAGATTTGGGCAGTTTAAACATGGAATTTGAGTTTCCCCATGTGTTTCTCTTTTCTTTCTTACCAGCTTCTTTGGCTGCTCGAAACTTTGTCCCCTGTTTTTCTTTAGCTCAAAGAGATGTCAAGTTTCTTATACTGATTTTGGCCTGTTCTTAGACTTAAAGCTGTTCAAATAGGAAAATAACCTCCTGCCATTCTATTCTTACAAGTATCAACTCCTTCAAGAAATTTCCTGCTTTGATTTGTTCTGAAATGCCTTCTGATTATTGTTTGTTCATTTATTTTTGTTTTGTTTCTGGAGTTTAGAGTTATTTTCTGCAAGAGGATCAGGTCTAATAAAAGCTTACTCAGAATTTTCATGGCTATTTCTTTTAATAATCTAATATTCTTTACAGGAAAAAAAAAAAAGAAGTTGTACCTACTCCTGGTTCTTGCTATGATGGAGTAGCTTATATCAGACTCTCCCACCTCCAAGAACAACTATAAAAACTGGACAAAATACGTAACAACTATTGAAGGCATTGAAGAATACAGTCACAAGTTGAAAGGATACACACTCTGAATGAAGTTAAGACACACTGAGATGAGCTCTTTATTAATCCAGGCTATCCCCAAAAACATTTGCCAATTTTGTGGTGCAGGAGAATAGAACCCACGCATCAAGTGGCAGCATCAGTTGCTGAAGGGACAGAGGTTAGAGTTCAAGATTATCAAAATGACAGTGACCTGGAAAAATTCTAAAGCAAGAGGGAACTATAAAGAAATGAGTTTGAATATCCATGCAGGTTTTCTTTCCCAGGTGACAGCTGGCTTCGAAGCTACGCATGTATAACTCAAGATTCTACAAAACCCTAGAAAGTAAAATGTACCTAATGAGTTGAGCAAAGATTGGAGTTTTATATACTAGCAATTAGAAAATTAAGTAAACAGACATATCATTTACAATAGTATGAAAATGTCAAGTATTTAGTAATAAATATGATGAGAGATGTACAAGAATACTACACAGAAACCTACAAATTTACTGTAGAAAAATCTAAATAAATGAGGACATAAAGATGTCATGATTTGTAAAACTGATGTTTAGATATTGTCCTCTAAATTTATCTAGGATTCCATGTAATTTCAATAAAAAATAAGCAAGATTTTTTTTTTTTTAGAGAAACTGAACATCTAATTTGAAAGTTTATATTGAAACTCAAAGGGTCAAGAATAGCCAAAATAATCTCTTTTTTAAAGTATATTTATTCATTCCATGAATGAGAGTGACAAAGACAGAAATATAGCATCCCCTACAGGGTCCTGACACTACCCGTGAGTCTCAGTCAGTTTGGATCATGGGCACATACCCAGCATATTCAGGGAAGTCTTTGACTTTAAACTGGCAACCCTTTTATGTGAGTTTGCCTTGTAAAATGTCAGGTCTTACCATTGAGCTACTATCTGGCCTCCCAAGATAATCTTAAAGAGCAATAAAACTTAAGCTACCATATATCAAGACTAATTATAAAACTACAGTAATTAGGACAGTTTAGTCTTAGTGCAAAAATAGAAATACACTGATGATACAGAATAAAGTGTCCAGAAACAGACTCATACATTTATAGTTATCTGATTTATAAAACAAGGCACCACTTCAAATGCATGATCTCTTCATTAAATGGTGCTAGAAAAATTGTATGTTCATATTGGAGAAAACAAATCTTACTCTATCTCACACTGCAGAAAAAAAAAAAAAGTAAATTGCAGATGAATGTAAACCTAAGTGTAAAAGGCAAAACAATAAAAAATTCTAGGAGAGGCCAAGCCTTGGTACTGGCAGTAGTGTACTGAGCAGTAATGCTGGAAGCCACCTGACCAACCACACATTGAAATCTCTAGTTTATCTGGAGCATGCTGGACATGCACTCAGGCATCCAAGATCCTGAAGATGTGGAGGACTGGAGAAAGGGAATCACAATGTGACAAGGATGACTGTCTTTATCTCTTTCTCTCTGTCTCTGTATCTCTCATGTAGATACATGCATATCTCTATCATTAATAAAATTAACTTTAAAAAATTCTAAGGGAAATCATAGAGTAATTTGTGACTTAAAGAACACTAAGCAAAAGAGATTTAATGAATTTAATGGATTAGGCTTTCTTACAATGAACAAATATTATTTATCAAAAATTCCACTAAAGGGGCTGGCAGGTGGCCTACTAGTTAAGGGCGCTGGACTCTCACATGGCTAACCGTGGTTCAAGTCTTGGATCTGGTGGCTTGCTTTCTCTCTCTTCCTCTCACTCTGTCCCTCTCTGGTCAAATTAAAATTAATAAATAAAGTTAAATATAATAACTTTTTAAATGCCATTAAAAAGTAAAAAGGGAAAGTCATGGAATAAACTATAGTATGTATATTTCACAAAGAGCCTTATTTTAAAATATAATAAAAGAAGCTCCTATAAATCAGTAAGAAAAAAAATAATCTCACAAATGTAGGCAAAAGACATGTCACAAATTTTCTAGCAAGCATTTTAAAAGCTACACAACATTTGTAGTAATCAGTAATTAAATACATTAATTAACTAATTAATTTTTTAGTATAGGGTACATGTGCTTGCTGGAGAGACAGAGACAGAGAGAGAGGGAAAGTGAGAAAGCAGCCCCCCAGAAGGGATAACACGTCACATTTTTTTCTCCTTCATTCTCCTCTTGGGATTTTGTTCACACATGCACCCATGCCCCGTGTGATGAAATGCATGGCCTAGTGGTTAAGTGAGCTAGATCCCACATGACTAACCATTCAGTTTGAATCCCAGCCCCAGGGGTTTAAAAATCAGGCCAGGTATGGGAACCAGCAGTTAGCGTAATGGCTATGTCGCTGGACTCCCACGTAGTCGACCGCGGTTCGTGTCCCGGACCCGGTGGCTTAAAACTCACGCCGGGCGCGTGTGCGTGCGTGCCCAAGATCCCGAGAGGAGAATGGAGGAGAAGGGATTGCGGCATGACCATCCCCCCGGGGGGTGATTTCTCGCTTTCTGTCTCTATGTCTCTCTCTGTCTGTCTGGCGAGCGCACGCGCCCTACAGTGAAAAATCTCTCAAAAAAAAAAAACATCAGGCCAGGTACATGTACGTGCCCAAATTCCCAAAAGGATAGAGAAATGGAAGAGAATGGATTGTAGTGTTATCACATCCTATTGAAGAGTAGTTTCTTTGTCCATCTCTCTATCTTTGGTGAGTACATGTGCCCCCGACAATTATAAAACTGGCTAATATTTAAAAACTATAAATACGGAGTGAGAGTAAGGATGTAGAGTAACTAAAACTCTTATAAATTTCTTGTAGGAGGGGGATATTAGTTAGCCACTTTGGAAAATTGTTTGGCTTATTCAGTAAACCAAAGATATGTATTCCCTATGACCCAGCAGGTCTACTTCTTAGTATATAACCAAAAGAAGTGAGTGGAAATAGCTGCCAAAAGACATGCACAAGAATTCCTGTAGCACTCTTATTTTAATATCTCCAAGCTGGAAATTACCAAAATGTTCATCAATAGTAGAATAAATTGTTGTGCCACATTCAAACAATGGAATACTCTACAGCCACCAAAAGGAACAAACCACAGCATGCAGCAACAAGGGTGAATCTCAGTGAAAGCCAGACACAAAAGAGAACATGCTAAATGTATATGGAGTCTAAGAACACACTAAAAAAGTATTGAAATCAGAACAGTGGTTACCTTTGCGAGGAGCACTGACTGGGAAGAAGCACAAAGGAAACTCTTGGGTTACTCAAAATGTTCTGTACGCCAACCTATATACTTAAGAGTTTCACGCTCTTATGTATGTTATATATTACATAATGCAATTTAAAAAGTACTTAATTGTCAAACAAAAGGAAAGTGTGATGAGATCTGAGACATACAAGGCTATGGAGTCAGTGTAAAAGGGACTGAGACCTCTAGTCATACTGGCAGGTCCACCGTGTCCTGGGAACTGGGACAGCACACTATATGGAGAACATTTCTGGGCCTCTTTCTATTACATAGCTTCCTCTCCAAACAAAGCTCGAGTCCATTTTCAGGAATGGCATTCAACCGAGGACATAAGAAAAGAATATTAAAAAGAGACTTTTTAAACACTAATTTCCTAGGACGGCAAGAGAAAGGCCTGTATGTGGATGATTTTTTGAGTCTAGAACATGGAACAAAGGTTTACAGGGATGACTCCTTGGAAATAATTTACACACTGAAACACACTGTTTTTAGAACCATTCAACCCTTCAAAGACTACCCTTAACTGTCACGTCAGTACATCCTGGTGAGCGGTAATTTTTTCAAACTTACATTTCCATTTCAAGAAGCAGCACCTCTTTTTCTTTTTCCATCTGCCTCAGAATTTCCTGGTATTTCTTTTCATCAAAAAAAAAAAAGTCATATACAAAGTTTTGTAGCCTGTATGTGGATGATTTTTTGAGTCTAGAACATGGAACAAAGGTTTACAGGGATGACTCCTTGGAAATCATTTACACACTGAAACACACTGTTTTTAGAACCATTCAACCCTTCAAAGACTACCCTTAACTGTCACGTCAGTACATCCTGGTGAGCGGTAATTTTTTCAAACTTACATTTCCATTTCAAGAAGCAGCACCTCTTTTTCTTTTTCCATCTGCCTCAGAATTTCCTGGTATTTCTTTTCATCAAAAAAAAAAAAGTCATATACAAAGTTTTGTATTTCATTACAATATCATTAACAAAAATATTATTGTTAAGACTCCTAATATTCCAAATGGTGCACTCATGAATGTGCACATGCAAGGAGGGAAAAATTGGGAGGTGCTAATGATCAGAATGAATAAAAATGAACAAAATGAGTTCTCCCTCTGTGTGTATATTCAAGTTGCAGCTCTGACATTTGCTAGCTGTGTTCCCTGAAGATGCTTCCTAATTCCTTGAAACCTCATTGTCCTCTTGATCATAACAATATCATTCACATAATTATGGGACAAATTGGCTGAGAAAAATACTATATATCAGGTGCATGGCACATGACAAATCTTAACACACACATGTTTCATTGTCATTGCTGTTGTATACATAGGACTTTCCCCAGTAGCAGATTCTAGCCTAATGAGAAACCAGTGAACTTAGGACCTTGCAGAAATTCTACCTCTACTCTAATTTTCCCCCAAGAGATGTTGTACCTTTATGTAGTGAGCCTGGTCCTCACAGAGCTGATACACAGATTGGTAGTCACTCTCTATCTAGAAAGAAAATAAAATTAACAAACCCCATAAGTTAAGTTAGAATGCTCCCTGGGACCCTAACTGGTACATTGGACATCTGACTAGTTACCTAGCAACTCCTTACTTGAAGGGAAAACAACCACATCACAAAGAGGTGATCTCATAATTCCTGTGCAGGGTCTAATTTTGAACAAAGCAAATTGTTTGCCTCTCTGTGAAACAACAGGGGATGTTTCAGGGCATTTAGGTTTGAGATTCGACAGTGTAGTATTTGAGGTAGAGAAGTGCTTAAGAACGGGTAAGACCAGTACTTTCAACAACAGCTTGCTTTCTTTTTATGTGTATGTGAAACCGAAATTCATTTACCAGATGTTCTTGCTGCCCCCTCAAGCAGTTCTGTTTCTAAGACTTTTGGCATTCTCTCCCATTTACACCCTTGACGGACCCTCAGTGAAAGAGACACTACCTCTACCTTGACTAATTCCTTCTCTTGCTTTGCACAGGACTCTGTTGACTTTTGTAGTCTCACCTGTGGAAGACCGCAAGTGATGGCAGAAAGTTAATAGCATTATTTTGTAGAAGGCAGAATATGATAATCCATGTCTATCACATATTGAGAACAAAGAAGACCAATCTAAGGTAGGCACTACTATTGACCAAAGTTCACCACCCTTTTTCTCCCACTCATATTTCATAGGGTGCACTGGCATGCCTCTGAATCACATAGAAAAAGAAAAACCTCATTTCTCTTTTTCAGAGAAAAATAAAAAACAGTGGGTTTCTTCTAAGGTGGGCCCAGCCACTACATAAATCTGCAGAGATCTTCCTTATAGGGTTTTTACCTCCAATCAGGTATCCAGTTCACTCATTTGACAGATATTTATTGGGCATCTATGTTCTGAGCATTGGGGAAACAGAAGTGAACAGCATAAACAAAAAAATCATGTTCTTATGGGTTTACTTTCTAGAAAAGGAAAAAGATAATAAAAATAAATCTAAGAAAGAAAAGTTCTTTGGCCTGTGAAACATGGATTGGAAAATCAGAAATATTGTTGACATATCTTCCTATTTGAATATCTGTATTTGTGTATCCTCATATAGATCATAAACTTCTTGAGGGCAGGTCTTGGTGGTCATTTAGAACATGTGTTTTATTGGCAGATGGAGGATGAAGAATTTCAAGCAATTCCCTCCACTTTGCTGGCATTACATTCATCTCTGCTGCTGGTGATTACGAATGCCCCACAGGACATGGGACTAAGTGAAGGGAATAAAGGACATTGGTTCACCTTTGATAAGCACATGAGCATACCTAGTATATAGTCTATGGGAGTTCTTAAAAGTAATTCCTTCCAGGGGCCAGCAGATAGAGTAATGGTTACTTTGCTTGTCTCCCACATAGTCTACCATGTTTGGGTCCCAGACCTGGCAGCTTAACATCATGCCAGGCGCATGTGTGTGCATGCCCAAGATCCCAAGAGGAGAATGGGAGAAGGGAATGTGTCGTGGCCATCTCCTCGGGGAGATAATTTCTCATTTTCTATCTCTCTCTGTCTTTCCGATGAGCACATGTGTCCTATAGCAAAAATCTCTCTATCTGAAAAAAAGAGTAATTTCTTCTAGAACCTAAAATTGGAATATTTCCTAGAAAATCTCTCAGTTTACTTTCCCACTCACCTTCATTTCTGCCAGCATTTGCTTTAGGGTTCCTTTCTCAAGGCCAGCATTCTTAAACCTCCTTGAAAGCTGAAATATCATGCCAAAAATTATGAATTAAATAAGGCATACAAACATGAAAACCTGGCATAGATGCAGACTTGGGATAATCTCAAGATGCAAACTGGTGGTGAACTAACTCGGGTCTCTGATAGAAGCTTGATAGACAGTGTCTCCTTCTCCCCTGAAGCTGGTTAACTCCATGCCAGCTGGACAGGTTTTTTTTGTTGTTGTTGTTTTGTTTTTGTTTGTTTGTTTGGTTGGTTGGTTGTTTTTTTTCTTTCAGAGCCCCTAAAAGTTCCTGCACAATGAGGAAAGGAGAATGGTGAGAAGGGGAAGGGAGAATGGGGCACAGTGGTTGGAAAAAGAAGGCAAATCTTTCCCTTTTCAGTCCTTGAGCTCTCTTACCACAGTGTGTAATCCCAGAGAATAAATGGTGGCATCAGTCAGTCTGTTCTAGATTGGGGAAGGAGAACATAGGTTTTGACCAGTGAGTTCAGGAAGACTACAGCTCTGTTGGGATTCCTAAGAAGTGAGCCTTTCTCTTTTCTCTCTCTCTTTCTCTCTTTCTTTCTTTCTTTCTTTCTTCCTTCCTTCCTTCCTTTCTTTCTTTCTTTCTTTCTTTCTTTCTTTCTTTCTTTCTTTCTTTCTTTCTTTCTTTCTTTCTTGTTATTGGGCACATATGCTTGCCAGAGAGAAAGTGAGAAATTACCCCCAAAGGGGATGGTCATGCCACAATTCCTTCCCCTCCTGTCTTGGGATTTGGGTCACACACACACACACACATCTCCAGGCCAGGTCTAGGACCTGAACTGCACAGTCTGCCATGTGGGATCCAGCACATTAACCTCCATGCCACCTGCTGGCCCTGAGCCATTTTTTCAAGGGTGGACTTTGCTGTGTGGGAAGCAGCCTTTCCATTCATATCTATGTTCAGTTGAATTTCCTCATTCCAAATGGACCCGGGCCCATATCTGATGTTGCCAGGCCACTCTACCAGCCTTTCTCTTGTGAAGACAATGTCCTGGGGATTGTGGGCCTCTCAGTACCCCAGAGCAACCCCTTACCTTCTTCTGAAGTTCCACTTTTTTAGGGTCTTACTGCTTTTTTCCTATGGGAAGAAGGAAGTGAAGGGTACAAACCCATTCTGCCCTCAGATCTTGCCCTCACTATGCTACAGGAACAGTATCTGGGATAAGTGTGCCAAGTGGGAAAAGTGCACCCTGGTCCCACACAGCAGATTGGGAACTGAGGCCAGACCTCAGATCCCATGCTGAGCACTTCAGTCCCAGAGTCTGCTCTTCAACAGCTGTGATTTCTACAGATCCCTACAGAAGCGATGAGCAAATGCTGATCCCCTGGGAAAGGTATGAGAGAATGAGCAAAGTGCATCCACTAGTCCTTTCCTAGACTCCTTCTCACCAGCTTTGCTGTCTCTAACTCCAGATCCTGTAGGGCTTCCTGCTTCTCTGAGATGACATGGTTCAACTCCTCTCTCTCTTTGACTCGTCCTAGTGACAGGGTGATCTCTTTTTCCAGACTGAAAAATATAATGTCAGCCAGATATGGATCAGTTCTAAGCAGACTGCTAGGACCCCAGCTTCAGAAGCTACTGCTGAAGCCTCAGGGAACCAGAGTGACTACCAACAGCAGTGGAAATAAAACATCAACCTAATGTGGAAACTGAATGCAAAAGCTCATACACAAAGCCTTTCCAGGGCATCACAATTCATATTTCAGAATTTAAATGACACACCAAAATTTGCTATCAAAGCAATAAACCTTCCTCCCACCTTCTCTCTCTCCCAGAGCATGTTCAGTTGAGGAGAAACCCTTCCCTCACCAACTGCAAAGCCTGACCTTTGAATCGTTTCTTCTTTTTCTTGAATTTTTCTAAGAAGAACCTGATTTGCCTCATCTAGTCTCTGCAGGTCTTTTTCAAGGTCTGAGTTCAGGTAGTCAAGGTTCTGTTTTGTGACTTTTAATTTTGGTATTTCCATCATCTCGTGCCTACAGGAAAATCATCTTCATTATTAAACTCATGGCAGAAAACATAAGAGCCCTAAGAAAACCTTTCCCTGAAATCTCATTCATTCTCCTATCTTCTGTTGTTAATATGCCTAACCAGCCCTACTTTATTTCCATAATAAATACATTTCCACAGTGTGTTAAGTAAATTCCTGGAATTGAATCACATTGTAATACTAAATATTATAAGCAGAACCTAGTAAAACTCAAACCTTCTGTGAAGAAAAAAGCTGTTTTATATGAATAATTATATGCTAACTTACTTGTTTTAAAATTTTTTATATAGAGGGGCTAGCCTGTGGCATGGTGATTAAGGCAACTGGATCCCACATGGCCAACTGCGCAGTTTAAATACTGAACCCAGTAGCTTGAAAAACATGCTGTGTGGGTGTGTAGGCATGGCCAAAATATCAAAAGGAGGGAGAAATAGAGGAGGAGTGAGGGAAACCACACCATGACTTTCTCGCTCTCTGTCTCTCTCAAATGAGCACCTGTGCCTTCAGCAATTTTTTTTTTAAATAAAGTTTGTGGAATCTAAGCAACACCTATAAAACATCTAAAGATCTGCAAGACAGAAGAAATTCTTCAATACCCTTTTGTTACAAACATGAATATATTCTAATCCAGTCAGGCAAGCACATAGGTGAAGGAGGGACAGGAAGAAAGATGGATCTTTTCCCCAAACAAGACTGATAAGTTGTTGGAAATATTAGCTATCTCTGAAAACCCATTAGTCTGATGAAGTACAGGGAACTTAAAGTTTGTTTTGGTAGGAAGCCTCCTGAGGCTTGAATAGATAACATGCTGCTCAATAAGGTCGACTGTCTCCTTACTGGTTTGCTAGGGATCCTTCCCATAATAGTTCCTCTACGAAACTGTTATTCTTACTACTTACACATCATCCCATGGATTCTGTTCAACTTCCTCCATTGTAGGTTTCCTAAAATGTTAATGCAAATGTTTGTTATGGAAATGAAGCCCCTACTATCCGATATAATTTATCATTTGTCAGGAAGGAGCAGGCAACAGTTAGACACTGTGTTCAGGCAAGGCAGAACCAAGAAGAAATCCATGTCTTGTATACCTGCTTGTTTTCCAGAATCAATTGTAATCTTTTTCAGAAATTAAATTTCAGTAAACCATATCATATTTTAATTTAAAATCTCATAAATTAATCCCACTAGAGTACAGAACTGTTTTTGTTTTCAAATTTTTTCACACTCTGATTACCATTTTCCCTTCCTTGCCTGCATTTCTATCATAGGTAAAGTGTTTAGGGAATTTATATATGTCTATTGGTAAATATATTGAGAGTTTATTTCTAATGCAAATATTCAGGAAAACTTAGAAAACAAATAATAGAAGAGTCAGAGGGTATCAAAAAGTTGGCTGCTTGATTTCTGTTAGTCTATTACTATCCTACTTTCCAACAAGGTCTAATTACTGCAGGCTGAATTAATGCTGAAGCAGCAGCACCAACAATAAGGTGCATTAGAAGGAAGAAATAAGCATCCAGTCCTCAGAGATGGCATCTCCTACCATTGCTCCAAAACTAATGTTTAGGACCATCCAACACAAGCAAAGTAGAATACCAACCTCTCTCCCCTCACGTTCTACCTTCTTCTCTCTTCACTTTGAAGCTTTTTTTTTTAATTCCCTCAATTCCTTCTCCCACCACTTTCTCTTTTCCCCCTGCATTTTCCTTTTCTTTCTACTCTTTTTACACAAAGGGCTTCCCAGGCTCTGATGATGCCGTCGGAACTCACCTTTGTCTTCCCAACCAGGATTTCTTCTGCTCCCAACAGAGATTTTAAACTGAACATCAGAAATTTCAGAACAGGCATTGCCTTGCTGATGGAGTTCTCCAAATAGTTGGACCTGTCCTTTCTGGCTGGGTGGGGCAGCATGTCATAGTGGGTAGAAATGGGTGGGGTGGTGACAACACATCTTCATCTATAGGCTGACTGAGAAAAGATTTCAGAGCTTTAGGACAGTTAGATTTCTTGTGAAATTGCAGTAAGATCTATGGGGCAATCTGGGTATAGTTTAAATGTCTTCTGAAGCAGTTGTCAGCTCTACGGGACACATTTTCCTTTCCTAAATCTTTAGACCTCGTCGTTGTCATGATCACTCTCATTTCTCTGCCATGATCTCTATGTGTCATGTGTGTAACTTGCTGTTCCTAAATCCAAACAATGCATCTCTATTCAGTGCATCCAAGAGCTACAGGGTAGGAATGTCAGAAAGAAAGCTAGAAAGAACCTGAGAGAAGCCTTTCTATGAACTAAGTAAGTTCTCATTCTCACCAAGTTGGATTCTTATAGCTACAAATTAACCCCGTTTATTTTCAGGCTAGCACTGTAGCGTATTGGTTCCCACATGGCTGACCACAGTTTGAATTCTGGTCCCAGCAATTGAAAAACATGCTAAGTATATATGCATGTGTGCTCCAAATTTTAAAAAAATGGAGAAATACAAGAGAAGATTAGGGAATGCTTTCTCTGTGTCTCTCTCTGGCTGGTGTATGTGCCTTGTGATAAAACAAACAAAAGCTATATTTTTCCTAAACTTCTAAGTCATTGAGAATGAAGGGTCTGCTGTTTCAAAGATGAAAGGAGCAAATGGTGGAGCAGAAAGGAGGAAAAAGGAGTGTTAGGTCCAGAGAGCAACTCTTCTGCCTATTCCTTAAAATTCTCTTCACTTTTTGAGGTATTAAATTATTGAAACAGCAGAGAGAATTTTACGTCAGTGTCATTCTATTAAGCATTTCTGGATTCCTCTTTGATGACTAAGATGAAGCAGGATACAGAAGTAGAGAAGTATCAATAAGTATGTGTGCTTGGACTTCAAATCTGCTCATGCCTGTCCCTTACATTTAATTCACTCCTTTATCATCTAAGTCTAACCTTTTCCAGATAAATTGTAGTAATCTCAAGTCCCTGAGGAAACCTTAGAGAACACACCACTGCCTCTAGGAAAGTCTCCTCAATGTCATCATATCTGTCATAATCTTCCCATCCTTCTCAACAGAGCTTGAATGCTTCTGCTTCTGTCCCTTTCTAAATGCCAAACCCCAATTCTACCAGAATGAATCCCTCCAACCTCTGTTTCCCTCTTTTGTGTTTTATACTGTTTTTAGTCTAGTTTTCATTCCATAATTCCATAAGCCTCTTTTTTTCTTTTTCATTTTATTTTTATTAAAAAATTATTGTATGTATATGTGTGTATGTGTGTGTATGTGTGT